CAACTTTTATAACATATATTTACTCTGCTATATTATACATCTATACTTGCTCTCTGGCTTAGCGTCTCCTAATCTAATGTCTCGTGACCTAATCTTATATGTCAATCACTTCAGCTGACCAATCAGCATTTGGATACAACACAATGTTACCCCTCCCGTCTATCCCCATGGTAACATTGTTATCACAAACCGACTTTTCCTCCCAAATAGCAAATAATGTTTCCAAACAATTTCAAAAACATTTTTTTGTTTTCCAAGAGCGCACTTCCCAGGCACTTTCAGGAAATATGGCTGTATATTATATATATTGTTCACACTTGGAACATTTTTTTCGGAAACAAATTTCGCTTTTTTGAAAGCAAAAATTGCCTTCCGACAAACTCGGAAACACTATTTGTTTCCTAGAATGACATTTTCCCGGTGGTAACTGGGTATGCGAGTTTTCCAAAAATGTGATTTGCATGACAAGGGGTGTCAACGTGCGTTAACAGATTAGAAATTTTTACCATGAAATGATAACAGACTTACCCAGGTAGGTTTGTTTCCAGCGTTTTCTTGGGCAGAGACTGCAACAGTTTAATCATGGCCAATACGATGGGAACTCGTAGTATTTCGTCCTCGTCATCCTCCTTTCTACCACTCAGGCGATGGAAATCACTCGACTGAATCTAAAGTGTAAATACAGTTTGATAACGTTTAAGATCCGACATATTAACGAACTATAAGCAAGGTAGTAAGGCCGTATTTGAAACTAACTGAGTTTTGGCATTTGAAAACGGAGTTCTGGCCGTTGAAAGGTAGTTCTTGCATTTGAAAACTGAGTTTTGGCATTTGAGAACGGAGTTCTGGCGTTTGACTAAAGGTCTGGCATTTGAAAACTGAGTTTTGGCATTTGACAAGGGAGTTCTGGCATTTAAAAACAGAGTTTTAGCATTTGAAAACGGAGTTTTAGCATTTGAAAACGGAGTTCTGGCATTTCAAAACGGTAGATCTGACATTTCAAAACAGAGTTTTGGCATTTGAAAACAGAATTCTGGCGTTTCAAAAGGTAGTTAACGTTCTGGCATCTAAAACGGAGTTCTGGCATTTGAGAACGGAGTTTTAGCATTTGAAAACGGAGTTCTGGCATTTCAAAACGGAGTTCTGGCATTTCAAAACGGTATATCTGGCATTTCAAAACCGAGTTTTGGCATTTGAAAACAGAATTCTGGCGTTTCAAAAGGTAGTTCTGGCATTTGAAAACTGCATTTTGGCATTTGGAAAGGGAGTTCTGGCATTTGAAAACGGAGTTCTGGCTTTTTTCTGTGGAAATTCGAGAAATTTTCGCGAGAAAAGCAACAACAGCTAACGAACCTTCTTCGTTAAGCACTTATGAAGTTGCGGCAAGATTTTCGTTGTAATACTTGAATGAATTTTTAACTTCAGTTTCATGGGGCATTCAACATCCTCTCTACTCTTATCCACATTTTCACCCTCTTCATCATCATTCTCCTCGACATCCTCAGGAGTCTCCTTGCCGTTCTCTACGCGAGTCTTGGTCGCACCACTAGGTTCAAATTCACCTGAAAATAATAAAATTGTAATTGAAAAAAATATATAATTAAATCACCAAATCACTAACTGTTTACACCGGATAGCTCTATCAGTTCTAAACACGAGTTCTCCCTTGAGGTTCAGTAAGTATCATCTCTTATTGATCCAAATTAAAGGAGGAAACCTAAACTAAACTAACTTTATTTATGCTGGATATAGCTCTATCAGTTCTAAACTGTTCTTCCTAGAGGTCCAGTAAAAGTCATCTCTTATTGATCCAGTGTTACTACAGGAGGAAACCTAAACTAAACTAACTTTACTTAAACTGGATAGCTCTATCAGTTCTAAACTGTTCTCCCTAGAGGTCCAGTAAGGATCATCTCTTATTGATCCAGTGTTACTACAGGAGGAAACCTAAACTAAATATATTATCTATACTGGATAGCTCTATAGTAGTTCCAAACTGTTCTTCTTAGAAGTTCAGTAAGAGAGATCCAGCTGGGAATCCAATTCTCATTTACCCGCAATATCCGTTTCTTGCAAAGTAGTGAGATCAAAATGAAATGACTCTAATATGGACACAACGATTCTGGAAAAAAATAAAGCGATGTTATACAGTCATGCACAACATATTTTAGTGACTAAATGTTATTCTGCATTAAGCTGTCATGGTCTGTGTCTGAACTACCAGAAAAAGATATCTCAAACCTCAAAATTCATGCAGTGTATAGACCTTTCTCACGAAGGTCTAAATCCGCCATTTTTGGGTACTATTTTATAAACAATGTGAAAAATCTAAGCGATGTGAAAATAATTTTTTCGCCTATTTAACTGTAAATCGATTTATAATGAATATACTTACAACTATAGTTTTAGAAAGTTTCATTTTCACTGCTTACTATCGCTGTTCTAAAAAATTTGGATTGCCACCCAAAAATGGCGGCGTGAGAAAAGCTAATTGAATAAGAAACTCGACGTTTCGAGCGAAGGCCCTTCGTCAAGAGTTAGTAGTAGTACACTAACTCTTGACGAAGGGCCTTCGCTCGAAACGTCGAGTTTCTGCTTGTTTTTCAAGGTAGTAATATAACCACTCAGCACAGCATTTTCACACTGGTACTACCTACACTGGTACAGACAGTTATTGAATAAAACACTATATCTTAGTTTATATTTATACCTTACCTTACAATGATTTTTTGAATTTCTTTTTCCCGCGGCAACAGTCTTAAATAATGACGTAACAACGCGGAATATTTAGGCCACGACAATTGCGTTGCTATGGCAGATATTGCATTGATCGCCTCAGTGACGACATTATGATCTTTCACAGCCTTGTACTCGTACACGAAATGCGTGACCAGTGGAAGAATGATGGACGACAATGTATGGTTTGAGAACGTCGTTTCTGCGCAGGCGCTTGAGAACCTACGCAAGGCTCGGATACGACGATGAACCTAGGATAAATAAACAAACAATTTTTAGTTGTTGAAGAGCAGACTGGAATCCGGTGTTAAAAAGTAACGACATGAAACAATGAACTTCACCAATGGCTCGAAACTAGTAGCTCGAAACTAGTAGCTCGAAACTAGTAGGTACAAAAAGTTTCAGCACATTTGGATACATATACAATATGAATGATGACAATTAAAATAACTTGAAAAGAATCAGAAAATCGTCCGAGCAATCAAAACGATAATGTTCACACGTAAAATCCCTGGTAAAATACAGTATATCTTTGGTCGTAAATAATCCATTTTCATTCCCCCAAACGACTGACAAGAAATCGCTATACTTAGACAATATATATGCACCAATAAACAATTACCTGTATGTGAACAATATTTTCAAAGAAATCTACTTCAGGATCATCGTTCGCAAGTGGTCTGAGCTCATTCAATTTCGGGTGCTCAAACTTTTTAACCAAGCTTCCTAGCACCAAAACAAATTCGTTTCTAGCACCCTGAAAAGATATTATAGATGTGCAAATTATCCAATCCTTCACTTGTTACACTTGTTACATTTTTCACATTTTTCACTTGTTATCCGGCGGGATACATTGCATTTATCTAAAGCCACGTGACCACAAATCGGCCAATCACGTTTAGTGTTCACCCAATCACTTTCAGAAGTTGTTGGAACACATGTAGTTTTAGATTGTAAGTGGATCATTACAGTTTTTTACACACAATACCGCTCCGCTCCCCCCACGCCAATCAATGTTGCTCCAACCAAAACACATCAAACCTGACGAGAAATGGGACACAACATTGAACAGTGGTCGGGGGGGGGATGACGTTTTGTTGAAATTCAAAGGTTTTGTGGCATCTGTCCCAAGACTTTTGAAACTGATTGTAGCTATATAACAATACCTCCACTTTCAACTTGACAGCCTCTTTCAGAGCGGGTAATAAACATCCGACAACCAGAACATCAAACCAGTTTCCAGATTGACCATCGTCTTTTTTCTCTACCGTATCGACCATCGTCCTGACAAATCCCATTGCACTGTACCTCAAGGCCAAGTCACTGGTGCTCATCGCCGTATATGTAGCATTGAGTAATAACGGCATAACCAACTCGGGACAAGCCTCTGCTTCTTGTACCAACTTTCCGGCTTTTGAAAACGAGTCTAACCTATTGAAGAGTAAACATAAGTACATTTCAATCAATCTCTCGCTCGAAGATGTTTAATATCGAAAGCTCCTTAAAATGCAAGATACCTTCCTAATACGAACACCTTGCTAATACGGACACCTCTCATTAACAGAAATCTCTCTAATACGGACACCTCTCTAATACAGAAACCTCTCCAATACAAACACCTCTCTAATACAGAAACCTCTCTAATACAAACACCTCTATAATACGGACGACACCTCTCTAATACGGACTCCTCTCTAATACGGACACCTCTCTAATACAGACGCCTTTCTAATACAGACATCTCTCTAATACGGACACATCTCTCTAATACAGACAGCTCTCTAATACAGAAGCCGCTCTAACACAGACGCCTCTCTAATACAGACACCTCTCTAATACAAACACCTCTCTAATACGGACACCTTTCTAATACACAAACGTCTCTAATACAGACACCTCTCTGTCTCTAATATAGATACCTCTCTAATACGGACACCTATCTAATACACAAACTTCTCTAATACAGACATCTCTCTAATGCAGACATTCTCCACCACGGAAATATCCTTACTGTAAAAACAAGCGTTACCTTCTTTCAAAATCTGGTTCATCCAGCTGCTTCTTATTCCACGAATTGAGTCCATGTAACAACTGCGCATGCTCGGATACGGACCCATTTTTCCCAGCTATGCTCAAGAACACCTTGCAAAGTTCTGTCCGCGCCTCTCTTCCACGAAGACTGGAAAATAGTCTTGAGAACTGCCCATAGAAAACCATTGGATCCTCCAAATTTTGTAGAAGATTTTTAATCGATTTCAGCATGCCGACCTGCGATTCCTCCTTTTGAGTTGCGTTCAGAATTGGAAGCATTAGGCGGACAAGAATGAGAGACTGCTCGGAATCTGTGATATGGGGGCTAATTTTTGACAACACGGAAAGTTCGACATTTGATACAGGCGAAATTTTGCCCAGTTTTCCTTTAGCTTTGGAAAAATCTTTGGTAGTTCGCTCGATGGATTTACTGAGAAAGTTCAGTATGATTAAGACGTTGGGTAGGACAAGTTGGGTGCCGTAGGGAATGGTGGTGTCTTGTGATATGTCCTCAGAGCTGATAAAATAAAGAAATACATTGGATGATTTCAGCTATACACTAAGTCTTGATCTAGGCAGGAAGAACAAAATCCATCACCACAGCTAGAAAGAGCATGTTAAAATTAGTAAAATTACAGAGTTTGGTTGCGAATTCTTTCAGCCAAATGTAGTGCATTTTCCCGCACGTAATACAATTTCGCAGGGCTATATTTTCCGCATTTTACAACATTTCGCGGCGAAAATTTGCAATTTTACGAATTTTAACATGCTCTTTCTATTTTTTTCTGTGTTGGTGTTGTGTACTCAGGTGAATGTGATGTTTATGGAGTTACTCTGAGTGTATACCCACACCGGGCGAGCTTGAAAAATATGCCCGGCCACGGTGGGAATCGAACCTACGACCTTTGGAATACTAGCCCAATGCTCTTTTTCTAGCTGTGGTGATGGATTTTGTTCTTCTTGCCTAGATCAAAATTTACTCTATAGCTGGAACCATCCAATAAAACCAGGATTTTGGGCCTCTTGATATAACTGATTGTAGGCGGATTTTGTCGATGGAAATTTCCAGTGTGAATTTCATACAAATTCCACAAAACCCTTCCACAGTTACCGGGTGTCCCAAAAAACCTGGACACTGTTTAATTTCATGTAACGTAAAAGCTATAAAAGCTATCGCAATGAAATAAAGATCATTGCATTCCGAAAGGACTAACTTAGATTTTGATATATAACACTTGAATTTACATGCAATATTGAGCGAGATACAACCAAAATAAAAATACTTATTATTTTACATCGGTAATTGTTTAATGCTAATTTTTGGCATTTAAAAAAAACAGTACTTCAACGTTCAAACATCAATAGCGCAGTCAATATTGCAAGTAGATTTAAGTGTTATATATCAAAATCTTAATAATTAAGGACCTTTTCCCCATACAATGAAGAGTACGTAAGACCATTACGTTAAGACTGTACTGGAGTTTTATAAAATGAGATGACAATAATTTGCGAGAATATATAAAGCAGACTGTTGTAGCATTCTCAAAGTGGTTGAACCTTTTTACTAATGAGTCACCATTTCACTTTGGGCTCAGCGAATGCCTAAAATCTTAATGTTTATGAAAGCCTTGCATATCCCTATTGCAAAAATCCATCTCTTACCCTAATTCACGAGACACTTTGCCGAGGTTACTTTCTCCATCGGGACCAGACTGAGCCTCGCCGCTTGCCAACAGACGTTCAGCCATTTCCATTACCATGGTAACAACGGGCGAGCACACGTGATCTGACGTCAGACATGCAAATACGTGCGAAAGTAGTCCTTCATTTGAGCCTGCAGGTACGTGGGCCAGCAGATGATGTAGTCGAGGGTTTTTGCTCCAAACGTTCAGAAGACGAAGCAATGAGGTTGGACTTTGAAGTGCTTCGGAACGCAATTTTGTGATCTATGTTGAGAAAGGATAAACATAAAGTGAACTATTTTCATACTGGTTACCTCTACAAGAGTCATTCTTCTCTAAGTCTTCCCGCAAGGGTCCTTCCTTATTGATCCTGTCCACTTTTACTACAGAAAGGAACCTAAACTAAACCAGCTTTACTTATACTGGTTAGCTCAATCAGTTCTATGCTGCTTTTCCTTGAGGTCTAGTAAGAGCAATCTCTTATTGACCTAGTGTTACTACAGGAAGAAACCTAAACTAAACAACTTTGTTGCTACTGGATCATTTCTAAATAGTTCTTCTTAGATATCCCGTAAAATTCATCTCTTATTGATCCGGTTATGCCGTTATGCCAGGAGGAAACCTGAGCAAACTTTATTTATACTGGATAGTTCTATCAGTTCTAAGCAGTTCCCCCTAGAGGTCCATTGAGGATCATCTCTTATTGACCAAGTGTTACTACAGGAAGAAACCTAAAATAAACACTAACTTTCTTTATACTGGATGAGTTCTATCAGTTCTGAACTATTCCACCAAGAGGTGCAGTAAAAGTCTTCCTTTATTGATCCAGTGTTATAACAATAGGAAACCTATACTAAAAACTAACTTTATTTAACCCCGGTCAAAGAGGTACAAAGGATATTTATGCAATAATAGCCCAAACATGTCTAATTTCGAGTCACATTATTCACATGTCACCCACCTGAGGTGCATATTACTAATAGCCCAAACATTCTAATTTCGAGTCACATTATTCACATGTCACCCACCTGAGGTGCAATTACTAATTTGAAGACCTTATCCACAGTCGATGAGAAATCGTCATTTGGAAATCTTTCAAAAAACTTTGTCAAGCATTTGATGGCAAGTTGACGAACGGCTCTGAGATTTGACAAACACCGCGGATCGACCTAAAAATTATTTAAAAATAAAAGTACTAATTAAAAACTACTAATTTTAAACTGACAGAGATTTCCTACCCTAGACGTCCAGTAAGAAACCTCTATCAGTTTAAAAGTGTTCTCCCTACAGCTCCAGCAATGATAATCCCTTATTGATCTAGTGTTACTACAGGAAGAAACCTAAACGAAAGTAAATTTAATTTTTTATATACTGGACAGTTTAATAATATTTAAACTGTTCTTCCTAGAGAACCAGTAAGGGTCATCCCTGATTGCTCTAGTATTACTACAGGAGGAAACCAAAATTAACTAATTTTACTTGTACTAGAAAACATTAATGGTCATCTCTTATTGTGCTTGGGCATAACCCAAGCAAAAGGAGTAAATATCCTCCAACAAAATGTCCCACAAATTGGTATGTCCCTAACCTTCCCTCGTTGTTCCAAAGCATCCTTACATATCTGCAAACAGTAGAACAAGATCTCAAGCAACCGAGGTAAATATTGAGAGGCCTGAGTTCCAAGTACTTCGATCAATTGCGAGAACATGTTCAAGAAACCAAGTTGCTTTCGTAATGGAACCACTTTTGAGAGGGAAATAACAGACATCGATCGTTCTCCTTCTGAAGAAAAACAATAGATATGCACTCAATCTAAATGTTTCTAGGTTTCTGGCTTGATTTATAGATTGTTTCATTGATTTATCCACTGATTGAAAAATCACTGAATAATCAATGGCTTGATTTAATTAGTTTTATTAATTTATCCACTGATCGAATAATCGATAATTCTATTTATTCTTTCATTGATCGCCGTTTGAATGATAACGTTGATTGATCGTATGATATGACTGAGTGAGTGAGTGACCGTTTCATCTATTGATCGATTTTTTTTTAATTAACCAACAACTGATGAGGTCAACTTAATTGAATGATTAATTATGTAATGAGCTTATCAGCTGAATGATTTACTGACTAAATAAAAATATCCACGCCTTACAGTTTTAACTAACCGTAAATTTCTTTAAAACCATTACTGATCAGGTCTATAAACACTTTCATCTCATCGCCATGGCAACTATTCAAGAAACGCAATATCAGCGAACGTCGGGCACCGGACCCAGATTTCCCGCGCGTTCCCGCTCCAGTCCACCTCTGCATTTTACCGTACAGTATTCTACAAAACAAATAATTTATAAATTATTCTGAGTTGGTGTGTGTTTTGATAAAGTAGGCGGCTGTTGGGAGGTCAATCTTAAAGTTAATCCAAATTAACAAGTGTATATATATATACATTGATTAGATAGCAACACAACTGAGCTCTGTACTCTTTATAATGTGTCATTTACTTTCATTCTTTAACAAGGTAACTTCAAAATTTAAGATGGCAAATAACTAAATCGCGGTTTTACGAAACAGTACAGCATTCTACAAAACAAGTATATGTATACAAGGACTTGCGGTCACTACAATCCTGGCAAAAATTATTGTGGACAGCGCGCGCGGGAACAGAAATATATATCATCCTTGGCCAATATATACGCGTGCAAAACAGCAATGTTTAACTTCCCCCTCCCCCCGGTTCAATGTTGAAAGCTTATACATTGGTTAGGTGAAAGCTTTGCGAAATGCATGTCAAGACCAACATTGTACGGGGGGAGTGAGGGAGACAAAGACGCCAACAAGTGTATGCCAAGAGTAATACTTTAGTCTACACCTCATGCAGTGTCCACGGAATTTTTGCCAAGATTGTATGTTCGGCTAATAATAGAGACTTTAAGATTGACGTTTATGGCAAATCGCTAAACGTAAACGGCAAAATTAACTTCAAATCGCATTTGGAAGTAAGGCCTACGTTTTCGACAGCTAAAATTAATAAATTTTTTAGCGATTCCCAGCAAGCCTTTCGCGCTCGTATTCGACTTTTCCGCTTTGCTCGGGGACAACCTAAATTGAAATAGCTGTATGTAGTGAAGAGTGCTCAATATTCAGAAATAGAACAATATATATTTTTATATACTAGGCCTGCAGCCCCCTGCCATACCTCGTCAGTTAACTGAAATACCAGCGTTTACTCACCTGATCAGAATGTGAATAAACTCCGTCCTATGCTCTGCGATGACAACATTTAAGTCTTCATCACAACTAAAACTCATCAATTCGTCTCGGAACGTCTTGTCTTCCATCAACCGATCCAAGTTTTCTTTATACGGCAACAAATAGTCGAACTTATATGCCATCAAGCATGCTATGGCGAGTTTCTGAATTTCCCCGTCTTTCTGCGTCAGTAATGTTAGATAAATCTGCTTTATAGCAGGCTCTTGGTAAAGCTTGCTAGGGTTTTTAAATAAACCAAACACATTTAGACAAGCGCTTAAAGTTTTCATTCGCACTGGTCGGCCTGTCGTGGCTTTGAGTTGTCCATTTTTCTTTTTTCTGCCTTTACTGCCCACACCCGTTTGATTAACATTCGTGTCGTCATCCTCAATCGGGACAACTTCGGAATCTTTCGGATCATGACCACCATCGTACCCATCGTAATCTGTCGGTTCATTTTCGGAACCGGTGGGATCATGGTCAGTGTCGGTTGGATCATGTTCGATTTCTTTCCGATTATTGTCGCTGTGTGTCGGATCACGTTCGTTTTCGGTCGGATTATTTTCAACGTCCATCGGATGAGAATCGACATCATTCGTTGTACTATGTCCTTTGGTAAGGTCTTGATAGGAAACGCGGCCGGCCTCGTCGATAACGGAACATTCTTTTCTAAAAAAGGAAAGAGTCAAAAGGTTATAAACAGAGTTTATTTGTCTTCCCCATGAGGCAAAAATTGGTGAATCCTTAAGCTCTTTCAAATCGATACTAAAACAAAGAATGAGTTGAAATTTGCTTGTGTGTAATCGTGCAGCTAAAATCACTTGTGTTTTTTTTGTTATATTTTTGTATTTCTTGTAAATAGTTAATTTTTTGTAAATAGGTAATTTCACGCCCCTCATGGAAACCAGCCTTCCAACGGCTGTTGCCTGTTGAGGCTAGCGTGGTTTAAATAAAGTTTTGTATGTATATGTACTGTATGATTAGTTGTAGAAGGATCTGGTAGATGAAAACCTCGAGGGGAATTTTTATATATTTATCCAGCAGGAATCGAACCTGCGGCCCTGCGATCCCGGAGCAGCACTCTAAGTCTCTAACCAACTGAGCTGCAGAGAGAGAGAGTTGTCAAGCTCTGACCAACTGAGCTGCAGAGAGAGAGTTGTCGAGCTCTAACCAACTGAGCTGCAGAGAGAGAGTTGTCGAGCTCTAACCAACTGAGCTGCAGAGAGAGAGTTGTCGAGCTCTAACCAACTGAGCTACAGAGAGACAGTTGTCGAGCTCTAACCAACTGAGCTACAGAGAGACAGTTGTCGAGCTCTAACCAACTGAGCTACAGAGACCAGTTGTCGAGCTCTAACCAACTGAGCTACAGAAGACAGTTGTCGAGCTCTAACCAACTGAGCCACAGAGAGACAGTTGTCGAGCTCTAACCAACTGAGCTACAGAGAGACAGTTGTCGAGCTCTAACCAACTGAGCTACAGAGAGACAGTTGTCGAGCTCTAACCATGCATGCAACTGAGCTTCAGAGAAACAGTTGTCGAGCTCTAACCAACTGAGCTGCAGAGAGACAGTTGTCGAACTGAGCTACAGAGAGACAGTTGTCAAGCTCTAACCTACTGAGCTACAGAGAGACAGTTGTCGAGCTCTAACCAACTGAGTTACAGAGAGACAGCTGTCAAGTTCTAATCAACTGAGCTACAGAGAGACAGTTGTCGAGATCTAACCAACTGAGCTACAGAGAGACAGTTGTCGAGCTCTAACCAACTGAGCTACAGAGAGACAGTTGTCGAGCTATAACCAACTAAGCTACAGAGAGACAGTTGTCGATCTCTAATCAACTGAGCTACAGAGAGACAGTTGTCGAGCTCTAACCACAAGTTCATGTATAAATTCTAAGGTATGCCAATGTATCTGATAGTTAGGGACTAAACCCAACCCACCATGTCAACATTCTCTGTGGTGGAAACCGGAGCATCCGCAGAAAACACACAACCTTCGACAGAGCTTTGTCTGACTGTTTTTACATTAGCGCCATGAGTACGTAGCGAGAATCGAACCCACGATCTCAGAAGTGAACGGCGCTTGATCTGACGATTACGACACCGAAACCCCATATCTGTATACTTCGGTGCAAGACTATACTGTAAAGGCCCATTTCCACTCAAGAAAAATTTCCACGGACAGAAAGTTTTCCGAAAATATCATTGTTAAAATTTTTCAACTTCAAAATTTTTTTCCCACGGAAAATTTGTGTCAGCCAATCAAATTGTACAAAATTTTCTTTCCGTCAAAATTTTCTTTCTTGAGTGGAAATGGGCCTTAAGTCATACCTGACGAACTCCAGAAACAACGGCACAACTTGTCTCGAACGTGCTTCAACTATCTGAGGAAACTTTGCCATCGTCTTCCAAAGTAACAATCTGAAATTATGGCGGTCAACCCTGTTGTCTTCTCGCGGTCCGACGCACAACCATAATTCCCGTTGAAAGAACATATTCAGCGTCTCTGGAGAGGATGGGAAACTGGGCGTTTGTTCAGACATTTCGTTTTCTCCTGTCAAAGCACAGTTAAAATAAAATTAACAACAACGATTTTGGACAATAATTTAAAGGTAGGTTCTCACGCTGAGATTTGTCCTGAAAGTTGGCAGTCACGAATTATAACAGGGGACATTTCAAGCTCTAGATGAACAAAATAAAGGTTCGATGAGTGTTCCAATTATGTTTTAACTTCAACAGAATACATGATAGTGTTGGAAAAGCATTATATAAGAATATCTAAACTGCAAGGTCGGGACTGCCAACTTATATACACTCTCATCCTCGTCCGGCAATGTGATTAAACGCGAGTGGCTGCTCTCATATTTTACCGAAACCAGGGTTCGTACAGGTCAGGAAGTGTTAAATTCAAGGACTTTTCAAGGACTTAATTCAAGGCCATGTATCAGGAAATTCAAAGACTAAAGGCTGAAAAGGCGGCTGTAGAAATCAGTGAAAAATGACTTTCAATTGTTCAAATGCCAACTTTAATGAACTTCAAACAGCTTTGGCCTTAGTAAGACATGATTACATGAACAAAATCAATTTACAAAATATCCAATATTTCTTAATGCCAAACAATTTCAGAAAATATCCACTAAAGCGAGATAATTTAAGGAATTTCAAGCACTTGTTTATAAACTCAAGGACTTTCAAGGCCTTGACTTTTTTTTTCTAAATTCAAGGACTTTCGAGTATTTTCAAGTTTTGCACGAACCCTGCGTAAAGGTCATGTTATACGGTGCAATTTTTCTTGCAACTTGCAATGCAGTTCTACTCTTGAGAGATGTAAAATTGCCAAATACGAGTCTTCATTACACTCCATAAATTGCACTGATGTTTTCTCAACATATCGAAAATTGTTCACTGATTTGACTAATTAACATCTCTCAAGAGTAGAATTGCATTGCAAGTTGCAAGAAAAATTGCACCGTGTAACATGGCCTTAACTCTGTTTCTGTTTAGTTATCTATTTAAGGAAACTCCCTCTCCCACCACCTTTTCACTTCTCCCACCCCCCACCCCCTTCACGCTTCGATACCTGCATGTGATGGGTCCAGCGCAAGATATTCCTGAAACACTTTCCAAAACATCATCTTGTTCTCCTCCACAGCGTACGTGGTAATGAGGGTCATGACGGGATCCCACATGGTACTGAGGTTCAAGTAGAGCATACCAATCAGGTACCTCAGTGGTGCTTCCTTCACGACGTCAGGCGCATGACGTGTGTTTGAATAAACGAGCTTTTGTAAGAAAATTAACTTTCGACGGTATTCGTGAAAAGTTAGGGGTACCAACTCGGCATCAAGACAATCTTCGAAAATACCACACTTTGAACTTTCGACGTCGCCATCCTTGAAAATATACAATTAAGTTTAACACTTACTAATAAATTTGCTGCATAGCTCTATCAGTTCTAAAGTAACCTGTTCTTCCTCCTCGAGGTCCAGTAAAGATCATCTCTTATTGATCCAGTGTTACTACAGGAGGAACCTAAACTATTACTACTTTTATTTAATATGCTCGATAATTTTCCAAGTTCTGTTAACTGTTCACTCTAGAGGTCCACATGAGTAAGGGATATTTATTAGTGTTATCACAGGAGAAACCTACACTAAACTAATATTATATATTGGATAGCTCTATCAGTTCTAAACTACTGTTCTCTCTAGAAGTCCTGTAATTCGGGACATCCATCATTGGTCCAGTGTTACTATAGGAAGGAAATTAAATGTACAAATTTATTTATACGGTATAGTTTTATCAGATCTTAACTGTTTCTTGAGGTCGAGTGGAAACCATCCCTTGTTTAGAAACGATACAACTATCCACCATAAGGCGTCCTCCCTGTAGTATTAACACTGCAGGGAAATAAGAGAGTTTAAGCTTCACGTTATAGGTCAAACGACAAACGCCAAGCAAAGAAAAATTTTACGGTATCAGGCAATAAAGAGTAAATTAACTTGCTGTTTTAAAACTGAAATACATAAGTATTCTTTCGACGCAAGAAAGAGAATGTGAAACGAAAACGTTCAACGAAAATTTTGCGAAGAAAGTTCAAACCTGCCGTTTACCGTTCCCGGAAACATGAAGCTTAAGGCTGCATTCCAGTTACGCGTTTTTTATACGTGCGTACACGCACGTAAAAGTTGATTTCGCTTTATATCCTACTTACGAAATAACTAAATTTATAAAAGGACAGCATTCAGTTTTGTGTATGATTTAATGTGTATTTGTTAAGGTTATTTGCACTTACATGAAATTTTAAGCGAATTCAACTTTTACGTGCGTGTACGCACGTATGAAAAACGCGTAACTGGAATGCAGCCTTTAAACTCCCTATTATTTTTACTGGACCTCTGCAGAGAACAATTTAGAGCTGATAGAACTATCCAGTATAAATAAAGTTAGTTTAGTTTATTTCATTTTCAAACAAATGCACGTATAATTCGCCATTTCAATTCAAACCTCGTTAGCATCCATGTTCATTGGTTCAAAAGTTGTCAAAATTTTCAACGTCAGCAGTCTGATCAGGTGGGCATGTGACGCAAGATTCTTCTCTACGCACGCGTAAAATTCAACTAAATTCTGATTGGAGGATATCAACTGCGATGATTGTTCTTTGATTACTGACAGGTACACATGGCATGCCTGCAGCACGTGGACATCGTACGAATAATTTCTGAAAGAAAATAAATTACAGTACACATGTTAGAAATATTTGGTAATGGTTTATTGACAGATTTAGTAGCAGTTACGCTAATTTACAATGTGTTTACAATATTTGGATATAAAAAGGGTATATATTACATGTCATTCATTAAATATAAAGTCTTACTAATTTATATTTATTTACGTTATGTATAAAAACTACTAATGCATACCTATTTGTACATTATCCAACTGATAAAATTTTAAAAAGAAACATGATTCTAATCAACCCATTTAGAATTATAGTATACAGCTATTTCAATTAAGGTTGTCCCCCGAGCAAAGCGGAAAAGTCGAATACGAGCGCGAAAGGCTGCTGGGAATTGCTAATAAATTCATTCATTTATTAGCGATTCCCAGCAGCCTTTCGCGCTCGTATTCGACTTTTCCGCTTTGCTCGGGGGACAACCTTAATTGAAATAGCTGTATACAGTAAACCAAAGGAAACGAAACCAGGTGCAAACGAAACAGGGAAGAATTTGGAGGGGCAACTATCCCCAATTAGTTCAACATGATCGGGAGGGGAGCAAAATTAAACGAGGCCACATTTCAAGTTTTAAGTATAAGTTATGATCCTTAGTGGACCTCTAGGAAGAACAATTTAGAACTGATAGAACTATTGAGCACAAATGAAGTTAGTTTAGTTTAGGTTTACTCCTGCAGTAACACTGGATGAATGAGTGATGATCCCTACTGGACCTCTACGGAGAACAGTTTAGAACAGATAGAACTATTCAATATAAATAAAGTTAGTTTAGGTTTCCTCCTGTAGTAACACTGGATCAATAGGAGATGATCCTCACTGGAACTCTAGGGACAACAGTTTAGAACTGATGGAGATATCCAGGAAAAACAAAGTTAGTTTAGGTTTCCTCCTGTAGTAACACTGGATCAATAAGAGATTATCCTTACTGGACCTCTAGCGAGAACAGTTTAGAACCGACAGAACTATCCAATATACTAAATAAAGTTAGTTTTGTTTAGGATTCCTCCTGTAGTAACACTGGACCAATAAAGGATTGCGGGGCCGATTGCTCTTACTAGACTTCCACGAAGAACAGTTTAGAACTGATGGAGCTAACATTAGTATAGTTTTCGTTTCCGCCTGCAGTAACAATAGATCAATTAGATGATTGGACGAAAGGAGGAACAGTTTTAAGGAGAAACAGTTTTAAGCTGATAAAAACTATCCAACTCCTCGTATTTGGACTATGCGTATATACGTGCATATCTTCTTTACCTTACAAGGTCCAAGATAGAATTGTATGTCTGAATTTCCTCCAAAGATACGTCATGAAATTTGCACAAGAGAGAAATACATTTAACGGTTTGCGAAAGAAGAAACAAGATTCGCGTTCTTTCACTTGAACATTTCGCCTCCTCGGAGAGACGGTTGAAAAGTTTGAGCAGAGATGGGAAGACTGTTTTTGCCTCAAGAGGTCTGAAAGAAATGAACAATCGTTTAGTAATTTTGTATTTATTGTTGTTAATCTGCACTAAACTCGAGGGTCCAGTGTTGGTAGCGTTGGGGCTAAGTTACCAGAGACGAATCTGACAATTAGATTTCAGAACCATCCTGAAGTACACAACAACTAATTGGTAGAAAAGTGAACTTGTTAAAATATGTGGGGGTTATGATAGAGGGGGCATATCTGAGAGGAGGGCTTATTAGACATGGGGGCTTATATTAGAGAGGACTACAGACAGCTGTAACTAATGGAGAGCGGGAATTTTGGAGAGAAAGGCTACTGTAGGGACGGGGGCTTATTAGAGAAGAATACTTATTAGAGAAGAATACTTATTAGAGAAAGAAGTATAATAGAGAGGTGATTTTATATTAGAGATGGGGGGGGGGGCTTATTAAAGAGGAATTGGCGTATTAGAGAGAAAGACGTATTAGAGAAGGGGGCTTATTAGAGAGGGAAGCTTATTAGAGAGGGGAACTTATTACAGAGGAAGGTTTATTATAAAGGGGCTTATTAGAGAGGAAGACTTATTAGAGAAGGGGGCTTGTTAGAGAGGAGAGTTTAATAGAGAGGAAAGCTTATTAGAGAATGAAACTTATTAGAGGGGTTATTAGAGAGGAAGGCTTATTAGAGACGGGGGCTTATTAGAGAGAAGGGCTCATAAGAGAGAAGGGATTATTAGAGAGAGAGAGAGATGTAACAAAGGGGGAGGTTGATTAGAGAGGAAGGCTTACTAGAGACGGGGGCTTATTAGAGAGAAGGGTTCATAAGAGAGAAAGTCTTATTAGAGAGAGAGATGTAACAAAGGGGGAGGTTGATTAGGGAGGAAGGCTTATTAGAGAAGGAGGGGTAGAAGAGTCTAATAAAGTATTTCAAACCATTTGGACAAAAATATTTCATTTAAAAAAATACCAATAAATTACCGTGTAAATGGTAAAGCGACAAGAGATGCCCAAGCTGTCTCGACTTCACTTTCGGAAAACGTTTCACAATCCAACTGGAACAACAAATTCCACCAAGTCGCTCCTTTCTTGGCGACCATTTTGGGAAAATTAAATAACATTACCTCCTCAAACATACTCGCAGAATAGCCTTCTTCAAGGGATATTTTATCCAGAACAATTTCAGTCATCATGTGCAGCACTTTGCGTCTTTCCATTGCATTTAAAACACGGCTAATAATTTTCCTTTCAAAATAAGAGACTAGTTTCGGTCGAATAGTGTCCATAAATTTTGGCCACTGCTTCAAGTTACGGCCAAATCTGCACGTGTCGACAACAGAGAAATTTTTGGTTGTAAAAACTGAATTTAAAACTTTCGTTTCTTGGTCTGTATCGAGTTCTGCGCTGTTCAGTAGAAGCGAAGATGTAAGTTTTAAAGTAGCAGTTTTCAAAGATTGCGACGTTGATTTTGTCTTAATTAAACTGGTAACACACTGAAAAGGAATGTTTAGATTAAATTAAAAACTTGTTGTAGACATTGATTTTCTGTTGAATTTAAGGCTGCTGCATTATTACAGTATTATTACGATTAAGATTAGCATTTCTATAGCGCAAAAAATTTACATGTGGAATGTGAATGATCTACATTTATACAGGCCAAGACTATTTTTTATTATATAAACATAAGTGTTATATAGAGCTTTTGGCCACTGAAAAAATCGTATTTAAACACACGTAAATATTTTTACGTGTGAAAATATCATTTGTTGTAAAACGCATTGCCACGGTCGTTTTATTGTTTTTCACTGAATTTTGTTTATATAATAAACAGAAAAATACATGTGTGCTTGGAATATCACGTTCAAAACTCGAAATAAATCTGGTATTTCCGCGCACCCATGTATTATTCTCTATATATTTACAACAATTGTAATATTACTTTCTTAACTGTGTTTATCCTAACCCACCCTGTCAACTTAACCTATAGGAGGAAACCAGAACATCCGGATGAAACCCATGACTTTCAGCAGAGCATTGACAGATTCATTCCCCATGAGCCCATAGCGAGAATCAGACCCACAAACTCAAAGGTACCGCTACTAAAGTATGTACTGACCTTTTGTAACTGGGCAGCATCGAATAGCAATGCACCCTGTTTCCACTCTGTCCAAACGTCAGTCAATTGAACCAAATATTTTAACTTCTCAGAAAGAACATCATCCATATTGCTCTGTCTCAGTAAAGTATCGATGGCATTAAACAAGCAATTCCATATCACTTCACTGTGTTCTTTCTTCGCATACTTTGCCATTTCAGAAAACATGCAGACAAATACTTCAAAAATCTAAGAGTAAATTTTAAAAAATCTTGACGTTAAATGAGTAGTACGAAGGATTACGAAGGATTGAATAACGCTATCCATTAGGTACAGTGATTTCTCTAAACATTGTAAAATTACTTTGATGTTAATCTGAAACTGTGGGGGGGGGGGGGGGG